TTGACTCGGATCAACAAGATCGCGATTTCAAGGCTCGAGTGAGGCACCACATGGGTCTGGGTGTAGTGGCCCCTAGCAGCCACTTGGAACCCAAGTTCAGCCGCTGACGTATAACGCCTTTGGCCTGCAATGCCTTTGCGCCCATGTTGTGACCAGCTCGCATCGAGGCGAACTTTGGCAAAACCTCACGACCACTGTTCTCGATTTCGGGGAACGGCCAATCACAGATGCCGCAAAGCTGGTTCCTGGTCCGGCAACGAATCACACGCCTGCACGCGTAGGCAGACCCTGTCAATGACCACTGGCCGCTAGGATGCATGCTGCTAAGACATCACTTCGGACCACGCCGCTCCAGCGGAATGACGTGCGCTCCGAGGTCAAACTTCTTCCTGCTTATTCTCAGTTTCCATGTATACAGAATGAACTATTCTTAACACTCTGGCCTTTCCAAGACTTCTTTCCTAAGGAACCATGGTCTGAAGATCGCAGTTGATAGGGTTTAACTTACTTAACCCCTGCGATACGGGTGTGTCTGACGACGACCAATAAGCCAGAAACGGCCATTCCGGTCTCCTTTGCCTTTGCGGACAATGCTATTTGCCTATACTACCAGTTGTTTTGGCTGTCAGGGCCTCTGATGAGGCCCAAGGCAGAGCGGAATAGATTAGTCCCGCTAGCGGTCAGGTGAGCGTTCATCAACGAGAGTCACTATCCCCTGACCTAAACCGGAGGGACAAGGAGCCCATGGCTCAATGGTTAGAGCATTTGACTCTGATCAAAAAGATCGCGAGTTCGAGGCTCGAGTGAGGCACCACATTAGTCTGGGTATGACTGGCTGACGACGGCTTATAAGCCAGAACGGGCCATCCTTGTCCCCCTTGTCTTTGCCAGCAACACTATCCGTCTATATTGAAATTCTTGCAAAAGGTAAGAGCAGCGTGGGCCGCGAACTGTTTGAGTCATGGTTTTCCAGTTGACCTTCGACTGTCAAACGCAGTAACCTCTAGTCCTCCATATTTTGGGCTTCGATCTTGCCTAAGCAAAATTAGGAATGTGACGAAGGCGCGAACAACCAGCAGTCCCGGTGACGGCAAGCGAAATTGTCGAGTAATCGTCATGCCAAAAATACAAGCAACCATCGCGTCAACTACGACCGTAGCAATGAATTCGAGTGATGTCAATCATTGTGGGCATGCGGTCGCCCGGTAACTACAGCCTATAAACATTGCGATCGTTGTGCCTCGATTGCCCGTTTCTACGAATGCCTCTGGTGAGGGGTTCGAGTGAAAACCCCGAGACGTCAGGCCATTAAGCATCCTCTTCCAGCAATTGCTTCTTCCTTTTAATTGCTTCCTAAAGCCTGTCTGTCCGCCTGTGTAGCGAAAAATTAATCATACCTTGTTTCACTGTCACCACAATGTAAGAGTAACCTAAAAATGTGAGACGAGTATCGTGATTTATTTTGGCAGGTCAGGCTTGTATGGCCACGTAGTTGGACATGAAAACAGGGACCTCCAATTATACCATTGGCAATACAGACGAATATGCGGATCTCAGGAGGAAATTGAGAAAATTTGATCGCTGGGACAAGAATTTTATGCGCATGAAGTTTCGAAATCAGTTGTGGATCCTTAATCGGAGGCAATAGTAAAAACGGGTTATTCATGCACAGGGACTTGCAGTATTTATAAGATACAGTCACTATGCTACTGCGGACTTATGACAATTAACGGTTCACCTATCGAGGGTAATTGCCCGCGTTTGCGCTAACTGCTTGATGGTCAGCGTGATGGCCGTGACGTACTGAACTTTCATCACACGTGGGGGAATTGGACACGAATTGCCGAACACGCGGGTGCAGTGTGGAGAAATGACACCAATTCGAAATTCACCGCCCAGTCGACGAGACTCGGCCACATATTCAAATTTGATGAGGCTGAACTTCTCGCGAGATGTGACAATCTTTTGAGTCGCGAGTTACTTGAGTCATGGTTCACGGAACCCCGATCTATTAACAAGTGCAACGATCTGCCCAATCTGTATTCAGTGCTGAGACTCAAATTGGCCAAAGTAATTCTTCACCTGGGTAACGCACAGGTCAACTCTTCGACTAATGCCAGCGCCAGCGGGTCAGATGGCCGACCAATCATCACGTCTCCTACGTGTGATGAAAGTTCGAAGCATTTTTTCCCCGGTACAGATTGAAAGCAGGCAAAAACAGCAGAATTTATTGATATCAACAAATTTCGAGACAGCTCATCAGCTGCTACTTGTCGCTGCAGCTCACTCAACGGGGCCCGACCATATTTTCAAGTTTAACGAGGCCGAAATCCTCGCAAGAGGCGACAACCGTGTGAGCCGCGAGCTGCT